TGTTAGTATATTGATATGTATTCAATATGTTAGTGCATATCCATATTAGCTGTAAAATACCAACTAGCTTTTAAATAATGTTGTCTCCTTAGTGCATGCTTTCCTGTTTCTTCTTTCGCGCCACTTTTGGCCCCTTTGTAACACTCTCTCCTCTCATATAAGAGAGTCATCTGAACATTGTTAATTTCAAGTTTATAACATTCAATACAACATATTCAATACACAATTCTTTCTCTTTCTTATACATAAAACTAATATGGTATCGAGAGCTAGGTTAACAACCTAGTCATTCTGGCTTCACCGGCGGGCGGCAGCTTCGCCTTAACCGCCCGCCGGACTCTACACATTACTTTCACTCTGCATATGCTTCCTCCCCAGCTGCTGTCCAAGCACAAACACAAACACTAGACATAAAGCCCCAATACTACAATCCCAAGCTCCCACTCAGAATCTCTCTTCTTCCAAGAAATATGAGGTGTTCATCGGATTCTCATTAACCTTCGCTACCACATGGGACCCGTACTCTCCTCCCCGATACATCTACCTCATGGTACGACAAATGGGCACCCACCCAGCAACTCCTCATCAAGGACTTCCTACTCGTCATCTATCTCGCCACCACCCCATCACCGCGCCGCCCCACCCACCATAGAGACAAGAGGCCACAACATTTGATTCACGCCGGGGGAGGGATCATTGACAAACCATACACCGAGCTCCATTCTCCACAGCCACAGACACATCAGGCAGCAGCAACCCAACATACACTCCACACCCACCGACAAACACACACAGACCCAGCACACACAAGGGGATGACAACACAACAGCTTCATCACGCTGCCATAAGACAGAGCTTACACACACTTATCACACCCACGGGTGGACCTTTACACCCAGCAGAGGCATACACAAACACACACAAGAAGACACCCAGTAGATTCATACACAGACAGCACACACGGCACAGACCAACTCTTCTCTCCTCTAAACATTCCTAACTCTCCTATACACACAAAACCCAGCTCCTCTAGCCCGAGACATGTACTGATCTCTCTCTTCTACTCTCTCTCTCTCTGCGTGCTGTGAGTTGTGTTCAATGGTTGGTGACAGAAATTTTTTTTAGAGAGACAAAACACAGAGAGAGAGAGGGAGATATTCTGCAATTGAATCCTCTCAATTTTTTATTCGTCCGCAATATGTGTGTGATGTCCTCTAGCTGGGTCCTCTCAATCTACAACCGCACATGGTTTTCTCTCTCCTCTTTGAGGGCCACCCAGTCAAACGACTTCCTCCTTATTTTATTCATCACCATATCTCCACCACCTCCTTTTCTTTTTCTTTTTTTTTTTTCTAAACCATTTTTGAACAAACCAACCAACAAACATGTGTTGTTTACCCAAATCAATGGGCCACCCAACACCCAATCAATGATTCTTATATTTTATTACTTTAATGGCTGGCACCATCATGGGTGACCAAAACCGTGGGCTCCATTATCATTTTATTTTATTTTATCTTTCTTTTTTCATTAAAAAATAAAAAAAAATTCCTTTTCTCTGTCGAGCTTTCCTTATTTTTAACGCTCCGTTGGTGAGCTTTTCCAGATTCCTGTTTCCCGTTACCTTCTTTTTATTTATTTTATTTTTTTTTCTATCTTTCTTTTTTTTCATCAATATTTTTCATTATATCCATCTCCGTTAGTGAGCATCATCCCTCTTTCCATATTTTCTTTATTATTATTATTTTTCCACCACAAAAAAAAAAAAACAACAACAAAACAAAACAAAAAACAACAAAAAAAAAACAAAAAAAAAAAAATCAATCCCTTTGTGTTTCAACCTCCAATGTTTATATCTTTCACCTATTTGGTTTGAGGGGGGGTTATACATATATCATGGTGAGCATGGTTACACACCATGCGAACCACCCAAGCCACCCCATGGCGCACTCCCTAAGTCGCCTCCTTGGTGCACCACCACAAGCTTTCTACATCGGTCCGACATGACCCCGTAACTGTCCCGACATGATTCCGGTCAGCTCTCCATGGTCCGACATGACCTCATAAACTGTCCCGACATTGATTCCGGTTAGTTTCTACAACGGTTCGACACGACCATACAGTGTCTTCACCAACGGTCTGACACGACCATACAGTGTCTCCTATCCACTTTTATTTGTCAGTTTATTTTACGTTTTTGTTACTCTCTCCAAACTCAAGTTGGTTAGTATCTATCCTTCTTGAGTTTGAGGGGGCTGTTAGTAATTATATGTATTATATGTTAGTGCATATCTATATTAGCTGTAAAATACCACAGCTTTAATAATGTTGTCTCCTTAGTGCATGCTTTCCTGTTTCTCTTCGGCCACTTTTGGCCCTTTGTAACACTCTTCCTCTATATAAGAGAGTCATCTGAACATGTTAATTTCAGTTTATAACATTCAATTACAACATATTCAATACACAATTCTTTCTTCTTTCTTTATACATAAACTAATAGTGTAACTACAGAACAGAAAACAGTGCTCAGACCTAGTATCCTATCTGTCTAGTGTTTCGCCAAGATCACATAAGTATCTAAGGATAATTTTATTGAACACAACAATCAAGAAGTTATAATAGATATATTTCAGAAACTTAGGCTAAGAGCAAAATACAGATACAGCAAACATCAGCATAAGAATTAAGAAAGCCTACAGAATCAATACCGGTTATCCAGCCTGTGAACATTTTGAATGCCCTATTAACTGGTGAGACTGCAGGTGGATCAGAGACAGTGGCTACAGTCAAGGTACCATCTGATGCCCCATATGCAAGTAGATCAGAACTCATTTGCCCAAACTTCCACAACCGTAACTGAAAACAAACTACAAGGTTATCACTGTGGATTGTGACAAAGAAACATGCTACTATATGAAAATGATGAAAATGGACATGAAACAATCTAGAAAGTTACCCATGGCCTGCATTGGTCAAAGATGCAATGCATCCCCACAAAGGAATATTCCAGGTTCAGCTTTTCTACGTGGGTGATCACCATCACTTGCATTTGAGGCTTTTGAGCTGAAACTTTGGACTATGACTCAAAGCTTGACTGCCACTTCGTAGGTCCTGTGACGAAAAGTGAACATGGACATATTATTTTACATGGAAACAAAATTAAAACAAAACTGTCTTGGCAGCTTTGTGTTTTATGGATTGCAACTGTTGTTTCGACTTGGAAAGCCTCATCCCAACTGACCTAAGACCTTCTTCTCAAAACTAAGGTCTGGTTCTTTTAAAAAAGAAAAGAAAACATTTGCACATGCAGGCAAGTAGGTTTAATAAAAACAGTTTGTACTTGGCAGATTGCAACCTTTTTGTTTGGTAAATCCCTTGGTTGAAAACGATTTCAATATTTGATTGTTAACATTATGGAATCCCACCATTTACAGATCATGAAGACTACAGCAAAGTTTGATCAGAATCTCAGACACATACCATGATAACAGGACACATGACACAGGAGCAAGAGCCAACTGTGTTGAAAAAGGGTACTCCATTAATCATGTCTAGATACTTGTGGCACCAGAAGAAAACTATTTAAACGAATATAGAGTACGTCATCATAATTAGCAACTGATGTCCTAACTCCCAACCACTCAAAATTAGCATAAAGTTAGCAATTAGATTAATCACACAAATGATTTCTAGGGTATAAATGTACAATAAGCATCATAAAACCCAGATTATAAACATAATGCAATAATCATTGTAGCTGATGCAGACTCAATTCACACACACACCACACAGACAGTGGCATACGACGATCAAGTTCATGATTTGTCTTATCAGAGACAAAAAATACACCTCACAAAATCACAAGGAAACACCAACAACAAGAAGAGAAGAGGGAGGAGTTGAATTAAGACAGTAAAAAAGCAACCAAGTATTTGCAAAACTTTCTCTGCAGTCAATGCAAAACTTCTTAAATAATAGGATGGTAGGTTTGTTTTCTCCCACATGGAGAAACTTTGTTGAATAAAAATACAGCAGAAGAGAAAACAAAAGAGGCAATAGTCTTGCAATTTAACCTAAAAAAGTAAATTTTGAGAAAAATTATAGAAATGAGGAAATACCCTGATAGGACTCCAGTGTCCATCTCAAAAGAAAGAGAGAGTGGACTGAGATGATCTCCATCGCCCACTGATGCATCAACCAGTAAATTACCCTGACGTCAGAATTGTATGGAAACATGAATTTAAATATAATCTTCTGTAGTTACACTATGCTGTTCCTATTTTGCAGCCTTACTTCTTTTAACTTTTATTTGAAATATGTCAATTTAATGTAATTTTCAAGTACAAATAATGTAAATTACCCTAAATACTCTAATGATGTATGGTGAAATGTATTATACGTGGGAGTGCTAGGTCTCATCCCTTTCTTGTGTTTCTTATATCACTTTGCTGTTGCCAACTAAAGTTTGCTTGTTTATTTGAAAAATCTAGAGGAAAAAAAAAATAGTAGTTAAGTTTGACCTTATGCCTTATGGTATAAAATTGGCGATATAAAATTGAGCCTATCTGCAACTTATAGAATGTGGTAACAAGAGTTTTTAGACATTTCCACTAAATCAATCCAAACTAATCTAACCTTGGGCACATATATATAGGGAAGGATCAGATGATACTATGTACGATCATGTTTAAAGTTTTGTTACACGGGTAGAGTTTTTGGCTCCTCAAATTATGGATACAATCGAAGCATCTAAAACAAGTTGAGAAACAAACAACATGAAAAGTCTCGCAAATATAAGGAAATAAATAACAAACAAATAGATATCATGGAAAAATATTGCCTAATTATTGCATGCTAAGTATGTTTGAGGCAGTATATCTACTACCTTAAATACTCTAATGATGTTTGGTGAAATGTATTATACATGTGAGTGCTAGGTCTCATCCCTTTCTTGTGTTCCTTATATCACTTTGTTGTTGCCAACTAAAGTTTGCTAATTTATTTGAAAAATCTAGAGGGAAAAAAAAAAATAGTAGTTAAGTTTGACCTTATGCCTTATGGTATAAAATTGGTGATATAAAATTGAGCCTATCTGCAACTTATAGAATGTGGTAACAAGAGTTTTTAGACATTTCCACTAAATCAATCCAAACTAATCTAAACTTGGGCACATATATATAGGGAAGGATCAGATGATACTATGTCCGATCATGTTTAAAGTTTTGTTACACGGGTAGAGTTTTTGGCTCCTCAAATTATGGATACAATCGAAGCATCTAAAACAAGTTGAGAAACAAACAACATGAAAAGTCTCGCAAATATAAGGAAATAAATAACAAACAAATAGATATCATGGAAAAATATTGCCTAATTATTGCATGCTAAGTATGTTTGAGGCAGTATATCTACTCATATGGCAAGATAATGATTTAACTCAAAGAAATGTTTTATTAGGGGTGTACATCAGTCTGTTCGATTCGGGTTAGAGCCAAACCGACAACTAAATAGAACTTGGTTGGTTCCTAATATTTGGACGCAGAACCAAAATGACCAATTTGTGGATGGAACGAAATCAACCCAACTGGTTGACCAGACGTGTCAAATTATTTATACAAGGCTTCTCATTTTTATTAGAACTAGTTTACTATCACCATTCTTATTGTTTGTGTCCTAATGCTAGTCCTTTTCAGATTTTGACTTCACATCGAACAATCAATATATTGCATCATCTTCAATGGATAAAACTGCGAGAATATGGGAGATATCCAAAGGCCTTTGCATTCGGGTGATTTATGGACTCTCTCCTCAACTTTGTATTCGATTCCATCCTGTAAGTAAACACTAGCACGCATGATCTTCCTCATTTAAAACAGTTTAACTACCGCATTTAAATATCTTCTTTGACATCTTTGTAAATCCTTGAATTTTCTTAAAAATTCTAAACAATTTTAGCTATTTTTTGACTTCCAAGTTTTTTCCTCAAATCCTTGTTTGGCAGCTTGCAGTTTTAGCCAAAGAGTCAAAAAGTTACTATAAGTTGTCACATGACTCTCTCTATTTTTCTGCACATCTTTTCGTAAAAAGTCAAAAAGTTATTAAAATATTTCCAACAATTTTAATTTCTCCTATATCTTTTTCCCTTGAAAGGCTATATGTCATTTTCTTTATGAAAGTATACTTGTTAATTTTTTTAATCAAGTAAAATTTAGACCATATCTGGATTTAATGCTTTTATTAAAAAATTAATTCGTTTTTGTATATCTGTTTCACTAAATTGGTCATTAACTTTTGCTTTCCCTCTGTCATATTTTGTGCAGGTGAATAACAACTTCCTTTCCGTTGGCAATGCAAACAAAGAAATCACTGTAATATTTGCACACCACATCTTTATGAAAATTGCATGATAGTTTCTGGAATGTCATTTAAGTGAAACTTAGATTTTCAACTTTTTTTTTTTATTTTTCTCTTTTGTTTTTCTGTTGGTATATAAAGAGTCCACACCCCCCCACTCTCTCTCTCTCTCTCTCTCTCTCTCTATATATATATATATAGAAACATAAAAATTAAGAATACTATATATGCATACCCTCCTCGTAGCACCCCAACCAATGACCTGAAATGGGGCCACCTGTGTTGCTCACTTAACTGAACAAAACATAGAAGAGAACCAGAACCAATCCATCTCATTCCAGTGAAAATAAAAACAAGACCTACCTTTAGCTTTATAGGCCATACGTGGTGGGAGCCACCTCTTGAATCCCATGAGTGGGATCAAAGCGTTGTGTAAAACTAAGTGCTACATCATGCACCACATGAGGATGTGTGGTTTTGAGGAGGGGTGTGTGAGATACTAATAGTAGCCGCTTCTGGCAGTTTTTCATCATAGACTGTATTCATTCAATCTACCTGTCTCATAGGTAGCATTTCTACATTTGATATTCCAGGTGTTCAATTTCAGCACTGGGAGAGTAATTAATAAAACTGTCTTCGACAATGAGGTTACTGCTATGGACCATGATCACACTGGTCTGCTTATTTTCTGTGGGGATGCTCAGGTTTGCTTGTTTTACATTCATTTTGTCGTCTTATTTATCTGGTGAACTCTGATATCTAGTCTTAAAATTTTTCCAAACTGGTAAATTGTATAGGGATGTGTATACACAGTGTCTATGAACTCACACACAGGCGTACTATCCCGGTCTCATCGCAATCGGAATGGAAGCAAGCGCAAATCTCCTGTCACAACTGTGCAGTATAGAACCTTTTCTCTGCTGGCACGAGGCCCTGTGTTGCTGACATTTACTCGAGATGGAAGTTTTATCTTTTTTTAGGTTTGATTGGCAACTCTCTCTCTCTCTCTCTCTCTCAGGTCTTAGTTGTGAAGCATTGATGAGGAAATCGCATTTTGGATTTTGTAGAGTTTCGTTGGAGATACAAGGTTATTTGACTCTTCGATGCTCACTAAAATTGGCTCCACGACTACACAGTATCCGAGCTTCCTTCTGCCCTCTGCTTTCCCTTGAAAAAGGAGAATTCATAGGTTTGTAAGTCAATTTTGAAGTCGGTAGTTCTACTCTCTTAACTGTTTCACATTGAAGGACCCTTTTCTAATGTGGGCCGGTTTTAGACTTTTCAGTAAAACATGAAAGAGTCTAACAGAACCAATCTATCTCCACTGCTGCTTACTAATTTGCTTATTCGGTCATTGTCCATTATGTTTGGATTAAATGAACACTTGAATCTCTCTCTCTCTCTCTCTCTCACTTTAAAGAACTTGCAACTTGATATCTGCCTACCAGAAATTTGAGCATAAGTGTATACACTTGAATAGATTTTTACAAGAAGCTCAAGAGGAAACATGGCCCTGGGATGCAAGAGCTGTGAGAGGATCAGACTGCTGTTTTCGTATAGCCATCTCTCAAGATAGATGTGGCTTCTCCTGCTTTGGGGAGATTTTCCCATTTTAATCTTGTTTGTTTTGATAGATCCATCTAGAATTTCTACTTTAGAAATAATACCAATCCTGAAATCTGTGAACTTGCTTCTGTTTTCATTACCCTCTTGATTTTTATCCGTCTATGTTTCATGGTTGGGAGATGAAGGGTGCCATGGTCGTCTCAAAAAAGAAATCTCAAAATTTTGACTGAAATTTTGTCAAGAGAAGAAATTGTATTATATAAAATAGTCAGTATATATGATTATTTGAAAGCTTAGCCTGAAATTGATGTTTTCTGGTCAAAGTTTTATTGCTTAGAAATTTCATAATTCTCATTTCTTTCGCAATTTTATGGAATAGTTATGATTATTGATCTTCTTGACATTGTGATCTGTTTTGTGCATGAAGTTGTTGGAAGTGAGGACGCAAACGTCTATTTCTATTACTTAACTCGGCCAAGGCATGCACGTGTAAACAAGCTGCAGGTCTGTTTTTCACTACCAAACCGAGTTTTAATAGTCGACAACATTTACAATTTCTTTTATTCTTTTATATTTTTTTCTCCAATGATTATTAAGACATTTATGATTGCAGGGACAT